GTCGGCTCTTCTCTGAGCCGTAATCATATCATTTACATAGGAAAGTGGACCTGGCATGAATGGTAAAATTCGTTGTTGTCCGGTGCGACCTGCTTCCTCTGGAAATTTGTTGAGAAGTGAAATCTGAAAATCGTAAAAATCTTCGTATAATCGATATAAGATGCGAAAGCAACCTGAGGCTAACCCCACGCGGACCAAAAACCAATATCGTTCATCCTCAAAGTGATACATTTCAACTGAAGCAGAAATTATTTTATCATCTTGCAAGCTTGACTCTGGATCTTCAAATTCCAATTGTTGTGGACTTATTGGCAAGGTTTCAGAAGCGTCTGAATTTCTAGAAAAGTTTTCCGCAGAGAAATCCAAGCTTCCGGATGGCACAGAGTCTTGTAATCCAAGTGGACCCGATCTATTATCAAAAGGTGCGTGAGCTAAATTTGGATTCAATGTCACCGGAACGGGATCCATTCCGACCGGTGCTAATTTGGAATCCGCAGAGAGACCTAGACGACCCAGTGAAATACTATTCTCTTGATAATCTTGGGTCATTTTCTTCCATTCTTCAACTTTCGGAACTACAGACTTGTCCATCAATTCCTGAATATTTTCTACCGCCTTTCCCGTCGCATGATCCCGAATTTCTATGAAAGATACGGGAATGAGACCCGGACCACCCAAACGTCTTATCGGTTTCGCAACAAACCATTCATGGTTTGACTGGGCAATTACAATTATCGGTTCTCCGGCCTTGGCATCCAGTTCGTCAGGACGTTCCGCCACAAAATCATAGAGAACAATTCCGTACAATGGCGAAGGTTTTTGTCCTGAATTCTGGTTATGGATGTCAAACAATGCGTTCGGTCCGAACTTTTGATCCCCGCTCAGCCGACCGCTTTTCTCCAATACTTGAAAATATGAGACGGGAACGTGCCCACTCACATTTGTAGCCGGATTACATGCCTCGTACCAGTTGGGATCGTTCTCGTTACCAACGACATGAAAAAAATCTCCTTTTGAAAATGACAACTCATGTGGAGCATTTGCTTCGTAATCGTATAA